TTCGACTACATCGTGCTCATCTGCCCGACATTCGCGCACAACAAGACCTACCACAGAATTGGTGAAAATGTTCCAAGAATGAACGTGATAGTATGCGAGCAGCACGACTTGGAAAAATGGTTGAAGCTCGTAAGAAGGCTTTTCGAGGACACCAACACGCTCGTAATCCTCGATGACTGCACAGCCTCCAAAGATGTGAAAGGGCATACAAGCGGGCTGGTGAATGTCGCCTTTTCTGCTCGACATATGGGCATCAGCGTTTGGGTACTGACTCAGAAGATGACAGGCATAACAGCTTCCTTCCGGGAGAACGTGGGGGCGATCGTTCTCTTTTACACCCCCTCGGCCAAGACCATGAAAGCCATTTTTGATGATTACACTGGTTTCAAAGCTGAAAGAGCGAAAGTTCTCTCGTGTTCTCGCTTCACCACCCCTACGGGGTAAAGTTATTTTGAATAAAAAAATGAAAGTTGAATATATAGCCTTGAACAATGGCTGAAGAAGAGGCTGCATTAGCAGAAGTTATGAACCTACTTCAAACCGAGCCCGAGTGGCCGAGTGGTCCAGCAGGTGGCATAGTTCCAACAGTTTAAAGTATATCACGATGCCAAAACCTAACGTTTTGCAGATTCTCATCTCTTCAGCCGCACTTGGGGGCCTTGTGATAATATGGTTCGACTTTAACGTAAAGGTTTTTAAAACAATGCTCAATGTTACAAATAGAACATTGTTTGACACGGCCGCAGAAAGAAGAATAAAAGAAACAGAGGAAGAAATAAGAAGAATAGAAGAAGAAAAAGAGGAAGAAAAAGAGGAAGCAATAAGAAGAATAGAAGAAGAAAAAGAGGAAGAAATAAGAAGAATAAAAGAAGAATAAAAGAAGAAGAAGCCGCGGGAAAGACAGATTAATTTTGTTTTAAACTTTTGTTATTTTCCTAATATCTAATGTACCATGTCCGACAACAAGCTTGTTAAGACCATCATGGAAGCCGCTACCATCACTGGCTTAGCAGCTGGCATCGGCTGGGCCGCAAAAAAGGTTGTAAAAGAGAATTTTACTTCCGATCCCAGCAGGAGTGCGATGAATTACG